TCTGCCTTCTGCTGTGTGCCTCGGACTTAACCCATTGCCTGCCAATCTTCCCTCTGCTATGTGCCTCAGACTTAACCCATTGCCTGCCAGTCTTCCCTCTGCTATGTGCCTCGGACTTAACCCATTGCCTGCCAGTCTTCCCTCTGCTGTGTGCCCCCTGGACTTAACCATTGCTTGCCAGAGCCTTCCTTCTGCTGTGTGCCCCGACTTAACCCATTTTTGCAAAAGCCTTCCTTCTGCTGTGTGCCCTGGACTTACCCCTTGTTTGCCAAAACCTTGCTATTCTCACCGTGTGCCCTCAAAATCTTTCAATAAAAGCCTTGTGTGCCCCACTGCTCTCCGCTTGTGTTCTGTCCCACCTACACCTCTGTCAGAATGTGCCTTTGCACTGCCATGCATTCCTTCAGTTCCGTAAAATGCAGGTCACTGCAATATGTGAGCAGGGCCTAAATGTGAAGCTCTCATTACAATATAACCTGGTAATTCTGCCACGAAGACCACTCCGCCCCAAACTGATGTTTTAACATTTGGTAGATTCTGGAGAGTCAACCACTTGACCGTTTCTTTCATCTCACGGGGACTGTATTGGTGGGATTTCTATGTTGAGTTCCAAGGTCTACATACAGTATGTATTATCCTATATTATGGAGAAAGTAACGGTGGGAATGGCACATAGAAAGGTGGGTATATCACCAACACTGTCAGGTGGACAGGAACAAACAGGTTGATCTCACTCTTGGAGTATTCAGACAACATAATATAACACTAATGGAAATAAGTCCTGATAAGCATTATCCCCGTTTTATAACCCCCAAGCAAGATATATGAGAGGCCAGGACATAACTCAGCCCACCATGCTCCATATAGGACTAAAGTATCTCTTAATGCAGACTGACCCTTTAAATAACCCCTAATTGGTTGTATTCAGTGATTTCAACAGCTCCTTGTTTAAAGACAATATCCTGCTTTTTCTATCAGACCACAATACCCGCCCAGGGTGAGCACAGAGCCTCTCGTCTGGCCGGTCAGCTGAATGGTGCCCTGGCACTGATACACAGCCAGTCCTCTCCGCTCCGCTCAGCTCCGGCTCACTTATTATTGGAGAGCTCTCTGCCAGCCCATTGTCTTCAAAAGGTTACAGAAAAAGGTTGGCTACATTGTCTATCTCCTATCTGTCCTGCCAAGAGTAGGTAAAATTCTGCCATCTCCAGCGGTGTCCAAGACATTTCCTTACTTGCTCTTTGTGATTAACCCATTGAATGAACACCAAACATATATTAGTGCTAACCTCCAAGCAAACAGTTAAGTATTCTTAATGCAGGATGACCCTTTAAAGAACCCACTAATTGGTTGTATTTCACAGATAAGAATACATATATATTACTCCGCAAGGGCCGCTTGATAATGCTTATCCCTGGTGGTTGCCCTGACCTTGCAAGCCTCCCGACAGCCCTTGGGGGACTATTCTTTCCACTAACACCAATGATGGGACACTATTCATTCCACTGACACCAAAGATGGGGTACATCATCCCTGAATAACATGTACACAGCGTCAGAACTCTGGGTGCAGACATATCTCAACAGTATAGGATAATAATGCAAGAGACACAATTCTTAGTAAAACCTCTATATAAGTCTTGTTCAAAAGAGTGGAACACAAGAATAATGGGGTTAGGATATACAACCCCAGTTAATGCATAAAAATAGATCCTGGTGAAATAGAAATAATCAATTAGCAATGTTTAGCAAATTATACAGTCATGAGGAGCACACTTCAACTGTTAAACCGCAACACCAGCAGAGGGGGAAGAAAAAGCTTGTTGACTTATTAGCTCACTCTAGGCCATCGGCACTGCAATGGTGAATGCAGAGAATTATGTAAAAGAATACTTCAACATAAATAGATATAAGTATCCTAATTTGAATAATAATTGCCTTAGAAGAGAGGTGATCCTTTTATCTAGAAATTGCAACTTGAGTCCTGTGATATTTAAAGCTACTGATATGGTGGTGTTCGTTGTCTTCTGCTAGCAATGGTAGGGCCCATAAACAGTAGTGAATACTGGAAAATCAATGAAGTTAAACAGGCTGTGAAACTGCTCAATGCAAAGATATCCTGATACTGAGATGTAAAGGAGTCTGCATGCAGTGTCTCCAGAGTGATGACAGAAAGAGGTTGGGCATCCGCCCACTCAACAATCCCATAGATAGCACGGCCTCCTAGGAACAAGAGTTCTTGCACAGGTTCTTGGCTGTTTGCAGGGATGTGCAGAGTTGCTGCCTGACAGCCTGTCAATGCAGCATGCAGAAATGTCTGTGTGAAGATCGGACAGAGACAGTCCCGGTGCCGAGAAGAACTGATGATGTGATCCCGGTGTGTGATCAGCATCACCACTGTTCTGAACCAATGTCCAGATTCCCACAGCAGCAGGCTAACAATCTGTCTCTGGAGGAGAACAGCAGTCCTCGTATTCAGCTCTGAATCCTAGGCCAAGAGAGTGAGCCAGTCCCTTGCTGTAGATCATATCTGCTCTCCATACAATCCTTCTCGTTCCCAGCTTTCTGGTAGTTGTAGTTCAATCAGCACTCAGAAATACAGGATGTATTGACTATAGGACTACAGGTCCCAAGATCCTCAGAAGTCAGAAGAACTGGATCTACTCTGCTAACAGGAGGGGATGTAACTGTCCCAGTACTGAGCACTAGGGAGAAAGGGATTAATCGTAGTCTCATCTGAATGGCATATTGATATAGCTGACACCTACATCTATGTGCCTAAAGAAGTATAATGCTGTTCAGCCAGTTATATATTGCAGATGTGCTGCCAGACAGCATAATCAGGTACCCAACCTGCTCTGCTCACTGGACTGCAGCCTGCTACTGGACAATGAAGAAGTGGCAACACAATGATCATGTACTTAAAGCGGAGTTCCACCCAAAAGGGGAAGTTCCACTTTAAGGACTGCTGCCCTGCTCCCCATTAAGGATTGGCACCTTTTGGGGGCAGCGGGTACCCGAATTTGACAGGTACCCGCTCCCACTTCCGGTCCGATCGCCTAGGCGATTGAAAGCGGAAGGTGTCCTCACTCCCTGTAGTCTTTTGGGACACTTGACAGGTCCCAGAAGACTACAGGACCATTCATGAAGAGCAAGGCTACTCGCGCATGCGCAGTGGGTACCCGGCTGTGAAGCCACAAGCTGTCACAGCTGGGTGCCCACACTGAAGATGATGGCCTCCTGGAATACAGGACTGCAGGGGACACACTGCGAGACAGGTAAGTGGCTGTTTTTTAAAAGTTTTACAGTTTTTGTAGCTGCTGACTTTTATTTTTTGACAGTATTACTGTCTCCTGTAAGTATGAATACACTGTTAGTTTCTCAAATTATTATGACACTGGTTAGTTTCCAGTAGAGATACACTGAAATTTCGGCCAAAGAAACATATTGCCCGAAAATAGCTGATAGGAAAAATTTAGCCGGTACAGGTGCCGCTACAGGAGACTGTGTGCACTGCAGATGTGGGTGGGGGAACGGCTGAGCCAAGCAGGAGAGGAGCAGTGTATACAGTGACTGGTGGTCACTATATGTCGGTGCCATTCTTTACATGTAATTACCAGCTTTTTGTTTCTTCACTATAGCTCACAGAATTAGCCAGCTAAAAAAAACAAATTTTCCTATTAGTTTCTTTCCCTGAGTTAAAAGAAAAAAAGTTTCCTTTTAGTTTCTTTCCTGACATAAAAGAAACAAAGTTTCCTATAGCACAGAGGAAAGTGACAGCTCATAGCAAAAAAAAAAAAAAGAGCCGGCAATGGCATTTAAAAACCGGCACAGACAAATAGGGGTTTATTTACTAAAGCTGGAGAGTCCAAAATCAGACTCCCTTCTGCATAGAAACCAATCAGCTTCCAGGTTTCATTGCCAAAGCTTCATTGAACAAGCTGAGGTTAGAAGCTGATTGGTTTCTATGCAGAAGGGAGTCTGATTTTGGACTCTCCAGCTTTAGTAAATAAACCCCATAGTGACAGCCAATGAGGGAGTATCTTTGTATACACTGCTCCTCTGCTGCCCCCCTCCTTGCATACACTGCCCCCCCTTACAAAGAGGACCTGTCACTCATATGCTATCACATAGGGGACTATTGGTCCCCTATGTGATAGCAATAAAATCATAAGTTAAAAAATAAAAAATAAAAATGTACATGAAAGAAAAAAAATACAAAAAAAATTGAAGCCACCACATACGCAGACATTTCGGTTTCGGTTCGGTTTTCGGCCACATGCATTCTGAATCTTCGCTATCTGTTTCGGCACCAGAATTTTCATTTTGTGCACCCCTAGTTTCCAATCTTGGCCCTGCGCTCTTGAGGGAACATTGTGTATCTGAGTGAAGAATCACAAGGTCTGTCCACTCCTGCAGGTGAATTACATAATAGTGGAACAAAGGGAAGGTAAGTACAAGCAGTGCTGGAAGGTATGATCACGCAGGATTACTTTAACATCATGGTTTGTATATAAGCTGCTTCCATCCGCCAGGCACACATAGGCCAGACTATTAGCTGGGTATACCTGGTGAGTGATGTGAACAGCTCTGCACTGTAAAGGAATGATTTCATGAAACCTAGAGACTACCATCGCTCACATCTCCTTCTACAAATCCTAGTTGGCTGTACACAATGGATTGAACAGGTGAATTACATTCTTACTAGAGGGAAGAACACTTACCAACGTAGAAATGTATGGCCATATAGCAATGCTGGCTTGATACCCCCGGTCTAGCCCCCCCACAGCTCACCTTACATAGGCTATTGCATGGATATTTTGAGATTATATACAGCCACTAGTACTTGTACTAGAGCCATCTTGTGTTCATACATTAGTCTAACAATAATTGATATAGGCTAAAGAAAGACTCTTATCCACTTACCTGATAATATTTTAAGTATTATGGATCTTTCCTTATGTCACTCCAGGAAAATGTTATCTTTTGGTATGTTGATGTTGTGTAAAGCAAACCATGGGGTTGATTTACTTAAAGCGTTACTAAACCCACAACAGTAAAATCAGTCTGTATATGCAGTAAAGCATGCTTGTTATACCTACTGTGGAACCTCCTTATCTCCTGATCGTGTGGAGACACTCTGCACATGATCAGTTTGGTGTGTATTGCTAGAGAGGGTTTTTTTTTTCTTGAAAGAGTGCATGTGATCAGCACAGGGCCGTTCAGCACTGTCCAGACAGAGGTCAGGGGTCCTGCATCCTCCTAGAGCAGAAACAAAACTCCTCCTACAAGCTTTAACCAATGTTTGGCTGGACATTGATAGAAGTCACAAGACTGCTGTAACTGCTGATGAGAAAATGTACCATACTTAGCAGTTTATATTTACTAAAATAATTGCATTTCCATGTTCTGTGTACTGTGGGAGTCCAGATAGAGTGAATGCAGGGTCCTGGGTTTAGTAACACTTTAAGGTAAATAGACTGTGTACTTTGCAAAGTGCAGTTGCAGTTTGCAAGTGCAGTTGCTCCAGAGCTTAGTAAATGAAGTAAAACTCTATTTTGCAAAGAATACCCAATCACGTACTAGGAAAATTTAAAAAACAGCATTTTTGCTTGCACATGATATGATGATGAAAGTCAGCAGAGCTTCTGCTCATGTACTAAGCTCTGGAGCACTGCACTTTGCAAAGTGCACAGTCTACTTGCCTTTAGTAAATCAACCCCAATGTTTCTTCATGTTTGTGTACTTTGAAATGCAGTTGCTCCAGAGCATAGTAAATGAACAGAAGCTCTGCTGACTTCCATCATCCAATCATGTGCAAGCAAAAATGCTGTGTTTTTTAAATTTTCCTTGCACCTGATTGGGTGTTCTTTGCAAAGAGAAGCTTTACCCCATTTACTGAGCTCTGAAGCAGTTGTACTTGCAAAGTGCACAGTTTATTTGCTTTTAGTAAATCAACTGCTTTGAATCCATGACCTGTGACAAGTATACACAGGGATTATTTTCAGCGGCAACATGGGGGGGACGCAGTTCAGGCACCTCCAGCACTGAATGTATGTAATAGCAAGGAGTGCTTGGGTATGCCGGAGGGTCTATTGATGCTGGTTGCTGGGGGAACTATTGCAGGGAGGTCTTTTGTTGCGGAAGGGGGGACTAATTTTGCTGGGGAGGTCTCTTGTTGCTGCAGGGGTTCTCAATTACTGGGGTCAGTTGTTGCTGGGAGGGACAGTCTATTGTTGCTGGCTGCTGGGAGATCTATTGCTGCTAATGTGAGTCTATTGTTGCTAGGGTGGTATTTTGTTGTGGGGTGTGTAGGGTGTGCCAGAGGGTCTATTGATGCTGGTTGCTGGGTGAACTATTGTTGCTGGGGGTCTTTTGTTGCTGAAGGGGGTCTATTTTTGCTGGGGAGATCTATTGTTGCTGCAGGAGTTCTAAATTACTGGGGTCAGTTGTTGCTGGGAGAAAGGGGTCTATTGTTGCTGGCTGCTGGGAGATCTATTGTTACTAATGTGGGTCTATTGTTGCTAGGGTGCTATTTTGTTGTGGGGTGTGTAGGGTGTGCCAGAGGGTCTATTGATGCTGGTTGCTGGGTGAACTATTGTTGCAGGGGGTCTTTTGTTGCTGAAGGGGGGTCTATTTTTGCTGGGGAGGTCTATTGTTGCTGCAGGGGTTCTAAATTACTGGGGTCAGTTGTTGCTGGGAGGGAGGATCTATTGTTGCTGGCTGCTGGGAGATCTATTGTTACTAATGTGGGTCTATTGTTGCTAGGGTGCTTTGTTGTGGGGTTCTTTTGTTCTATTGTTGTTGGGGAGTGCATTGTTGCTTGCTGCAGGGGATCTATTTTACTGCTTTTCTTGTTATCATTAACAAATTCCATACAGATTGCCACAAAATGATACTTCATTCTCTAAAAGGGGCAACACTGGGAGGTGGGTAGGGGGTGGAACCAAGGGACGGAAGATGGAGGTGGGTGGGGGGAGGAAACAAGGGGTGACTCGGAAGGGGGGAGTACCTGCATCTATTCTCTGTGAAAAAAAAGCCCTGAGTATACTTATAAAGATTCAAGGCTCTTCTCTCACTTTTTCTGATCTTCATATGTGATCCAGACCAGTGACTCAGAAAGTCCTGAAGCCAGCAGGTCTGCTAGACAGCCATTCAGTTTTTAGAAGGAATTGGGAAATGGCAGCCTCCATATTTGACATGGCAGGTTTACTTTCAATTTTCCGCCAGGCCAGCTCATTTTTTTATTGCCTTTCTCCTATAATGGAGACTTATGACAGACCCACTTTAATCCACTCGGCCCTCTTGCTATCTTGCAAAGACATCTCCGTCCTCCCACAGTCCTTCTCCGGGGACGTGTACCTTCCCCTCCAGACAGGCAGTTACAATCCATGGATTTGGGGAGGATGGGAGGTCATTAGCGGTTTCAGTTCCTTTGAACAGACTTCTGTCCATTTTGGCCTAGGGAGCGATCGTCAGTAATGACAGCCAAGAACAATACAGCCCCGTTTGGCAGGGAATATTCATTTTAACAGGCTTGAGCTACCCTGGGAGAAAGCTGCTGTGCGTTTCAAATTCTTCCTTTTTTGGACAAGTGCAGATGAGGATTTTCGGTGCCTGTCTATATGTGCACTCAGCTGATGCAAAAAGGACACAATTGCAGGGCACGGCATTGTGGGTAATATGTGCGCCGCTCTGACCATTGGCATTTAGAAGATCACGCAGACCATACGTGCTGAAGTAATGAGCCAAATATTCTTCTCGACTTAGGCTGGCCGAACAAGGCTTGATTTTCACATCACTTGTGATAATTTCAGTTTCAGTGCAATAGTCAGGGAAATGTCAAGCTATAATCTTTTTACAGCTGTATGTATGAATGTGACCAAGTAAGAAACTGTATCACTATATACATGTTATAAAAATCTAGCTTTTTTGTATAGTTTATAATTAATTACCTATATGGGGACAGCAAACTTTGCTCATGACATATAGAGGCTTTGATTTCTGTTTAGCTACTACAAAATAACTTATATTTTTTGTGTTTTGATTCATAGAGCAAGGTATAAAACCGCTGTCTACTTTGTTTTGCTGAGCGTGCAAGGAAGAACGAACCAAAAGAAATGCCCGTAGCAAAAAAGAAAGAAGAAATGGCGCAGGGCATACATGACTAGGCCCAGAGTGGGGAAGGAGGAACAGAAAGGGTTAAGGCAGATCCAAGGGGTTTTTTTTTGATAGTGGGGGTATTTGGTTGGTGGAAGGTTGAGAGTAGGTGGGGTTTCCTGCACCTTAGGGTGGGGGGGTTTCAGTGAGGGGGCGTCAGTTGAGCTGGAAGTCAGGAGTGAGAGCTTCCCTCCTGCCCTCCCTGTTTTTGGTGAGTATTGGGTCCCTCCAGGTAAAGGGGGATTATGTTGGTTCCTGGGCGGTTGTTGGTTTTTGGAGGCGGTTCTTATCTTGGAAGGTATAAACAATGGTGTGGGCCCCTTAGGTGGTATGGGATGCCCGGGGACATTCCCAGTTAACCAAGGTTTAACTGGAAGGTGGTGGTGCTGCACTGCGGACGGTATGGTTGTCTCCAAGCTGGTTGGTTGCGGCTGGAGGCCTAGTGTATATGGTTGTCCGCAGGTGCATTTCGGATTGTTTGGGGGTGCCTTTGAAGACCAACAACAATTCTTTGGGTTTCTGTTATAAGGAATGGTTGGTGTATTTAAATTTGTGTTGTTAATAAAAGGCCATGTTGGCCATTTACTCCAAAATTGGTGTCATGTGTTTTGTAAATATAATTGGTTAAGGGGAAAGGGGGGTTTGTACGGAATGGTCATGGTGGTAATGGGGAGTGGACAAGCCTATCTCTGGTGCAATAGTCAAGTGCATCATTAGAAGTCCATATTTAATTTTATTCAGAATATTATATTATAAACAAAAATTCAACATGTTTCAAGGGTTTAAAGGGCCCCCTTCATCAGGGCTTAGTAATAGTGATGAAGCATGCACTGTACTGTTACAATTGAAAAACTGGGGGGTTAATTAGTATGATTCCTGCAGATGCCAATTAAGAAGAATTCCAGGGGTATATTTTTACATAGTAACATGTAACTATATATCATACCTGGCTGGTCCCCCTGAAAGCTGGATTTTGCTGAAGCAGACACCATTACTTCAGTGATCTCCACTTGTTTCTGGGTCCCATGCTGAGTGGTCTACCTGATGCATTGTGAATACAGGAGGTCAATGAGGACCTCAAGGTCCTCAATGGGGAGGTCTTTGAAAGAACAACTGGTATTTATGAACACTATGGCTGTTATAATTACTTCTGTACAAACATGTAAATGCTGCATGGATGTTAATACAAGGTTTGTGATTGTTTGATGTATTTATTTTTATTTGATTTCAGAGTGGTGGACTCTCACCCCCGAAGAAGAATAAAAGAGAAATTCGAAAGGCATTGGGTTGCCCAACATACAGACTTTTTGATCACAATTCTAGTGGCCATATGTAAAGTCTGACCTGGGTTTGAGTGTGATCACCACTAATGTAAATGTATAGTGTGTTCAGCCATCTATGTTTTTGATACTCTTAAAATATGTGTCATGGGTGGTTACCACCATACTATGATTTTTAACAATTGTAAATAATAAAGTTTGATGATTTTACAGAATTATTTTGGTTGCCCCAATAGAGGTTTCCAGTAGGAGTTTGCAGTATTCAAGGGATGGTGACAACCCCTGTCCACACCAGAAACCATTTGTTATTTAGGTATGGTATACACTGCCCAAAAAAAAAGGAAAACTTTGAAAACACATCAGATCTCAGTGGGGAAAAATATCATGCTGGATATCTATACTGATATGGACTGGGTAATGTGTTAGGAACATAAAGATGCCCCATTGTTTGATGGAAATGATCAACCTACAGAGGACCGAAAATCAAAGTGAAAAAATTATGTAACAGGCTAGTCCATTTTGCTGAACTTTCATTGCAGCAACTCAAATGGTACTCAGTAGTTTGTATGGTCCCCATGTGCTTGTATGAATGCCTGACCACGTCGGGGCATGCTTCCAATGAGTCGATGTATGGTGTCCTGGGGTATTTCCTCCCAGATCTGGACCAGAGCATCACTGAGCTCCTGGACAGTCTGAGGTGCAACCTGGTGGCTTTGGATGGACAGAAAGATGATATCCCAGAGGTATTCTATTGGATTTAGGTCAGGCGAGCATGGTGGCCATTCATTGGTATCAATTCCTTCATTCTCCAGGAACTGCCTGCATACTCTCACCACATGAGGCCAGGCATTGTTGTAGACCAGGAGGAACCCAGGAATCCACTGCACCAGTGTAGGGTCTGACAGTCGGTCCAAGGATTTCATCCTGATACTTAATGGCAGTCAGGGTGCCATTGTCTAGCCTGTAGAGGTCTGTGCATCCCTCCATGGATATGCCTCCCC